GGGTTAACCCCACCAGTTTGCCATTTTCTCAGATGAGCTGCAGCCCACTTTGGGCAAGAGGCGACCTTTTGCGGGAAGCCCTTCCAACTCCAAACCTTTGGACAGTCGAGCAGAACCACTTTCACACTCCCATTTCTTTCTTCTGCAATCTGGATTTGATAACTTCATTCGTGAAAGCGGTACCTCGGCATAAAGAAACGTAGCGGTCTCCCGGCGCTGACGCGAACGTTTGCACGTTCAGATAAAATCAGCAGCAGCAACCCGCGCGTGATCGAGGACCAAAGAGCCCGCCAGCTGTGCGTGGACGTGCGGCACTCGCTCTTCTACGAGACCTGCGCCACCTACGGCTACAACGTGGATCGAGTGTTCTCGGAGGGTGAGTCCGGCCGCCGGTACGCGAGTCTCTGCGACCAAACGCCTCGCCCGCTTTTCTTCTCCAGCCGCCCAGAAAATCGTGGCCCAGAAGAAGCAGGCGGCGCTGCTGGCCTGCAAGTCTCTCCCCAACTCTCCCAGTCACTCCGGAAGTTCCACGCCGGGATCGGCCTCCTTCCCTGGCCAGGTTGGAAACCCCCACGGCGCGGTGTCCCGCACCCTCATTTTTTGTTTGTTTTCACCCAAACCGCTTCAGCCCGAGACCGAACCTGCGCCAGCGTTCGCGGGCTTCTGCGACTCACTTTGGGAATTGGCCGATCTTAGGCAAATCGTTTTGCTGCAGTTTGATCTCTGAATCGCACGGCAACGGCAAAATGATGTTTCCGGGCACCGAGTGAGGTACTGACAAAGTAACTCCCAAATTGCAAACGTACGTGCAGTGGACCCGCACATATTTGCAGTTTCACATTTGCAAATTCCCTTCGTTTTTGTCTTGAACCTTTTCACGGAAAAGCTTCAAGATTTTGTTTGGGAAAAAAAAAACAAAAAAGAAATGTTTTCATTTTCATCCATCCATTTTCTGATCGGCTTTATCCTCACAAAATGTGCACACGTCCGCTCCAAGCTAAGTTTCCAAGTCAACAAGAAGCCGTGGCGTCCAATGACAAATAAGAGATTGGCTGACTTCTCCTGTCCCGTGTCAATCCGCCTCAATTCCAAGCGGCGTCCCTCAGTTCCAAATGCGCATCTGCGCTCCTCTCGCCTCATCCTCAACTTCAGCAGCCATCCGCGCAGCCGCACCAACGCAGACTGTCCAACGGCGCCGATCAAAACGGGCGGGGCCGTGAAAAATGCTGCCTTCTAATGCACATCGACTCTTTGCAGATTTGCGATTGGGCCCGGTCCCTATCCCCTGCTATCTATTTATTTCAGAAGAAGTCAGATTCATTAATATGAAAACTCTGATCATGTAGTTCTGAACAATGGTTTGACCAGGTAGCAAGGACGCCACATTTCATGTCGAGAAAGTCTTTCCATTCGGGACGCAATGATCTGCAAAGGTCACGATGCAATATTCTGACCATAGGACCCTCACGATACGAATATTATCAGGATACTATGGGGAAGTTGACGATTAAAAAAATAATTTTGGGGGGGGTGGGGAAACATAACAGCGGTGACAAAGAAATCGTACTGGCTGTCATTTTCTTGTCATGTGCCGCCGTTGGCTCAGCGGTATCCTGATCTTCTCCGTATTTCGCGTGTTTGGCTGACAACACGGATGACGCGTCGGATTCCTTTTCCGTTTGTGGAGCTCCTCAAACCTCTTCACCCGCCCATTGGTGTGGGTGGCCAAAACACGCTTCATTCAAATTCAAGCGCACTTCCTACCTAACCACCGGGAGGCGCCGGACCTGCGCAAACGGAAAACTATTTGGCCTTCTTCCAAGTGGCGCCGCCCTTCACCTCATGACACGACAGCGCCAAAATGGTTGGCCATTTTAATACGCCCATACTGCCGCTATCGTTACGTCCCCGCTTTCCATTGTCAAATCATCACTTCGAAGACATTCCTCGGAAATCCTGACGTCCTGTCACCGGTGAGTTAGCCGGCCCGCAGGCTGGCCATGTGGAACCGGGGGAGGGGCGACCACACGCGGGTGTCGGTCGTCAATTGCCAAGCGGGGTGACGGTTTGGGGCGCCCGCGTCTCGGACTTTGCCTCTCAGACGCGGGAACCGTGCGTCACATTCCACCTTCAGCGTCTCCATCCTCATCGTCTGCCGCCGCACCCTGTGACCTTTCCTCCCAGGTCAGTAACGGCGTGAGCGGCGGCTACGCCTGCTCCCTCCCCTCCACCCCCGTGCTCGGTCACAGGGAGCTGAGGGTGGCGCACGGGGAGGGGGGCGGCGGCTCCCGTTCCCTCAAGGGCATCCCCCGAAGACCCTCGCTCTTCAAGGTCAGTCCGCCGTCCGAGCGCCCGCTCGCCGCCATCTCACGCCTTTGTCCTCATTTCACGCCAGCGGTGTCCGCGCGTCGCCGCGCTTCGGGCGGGTCGCAAGGGCGTCGCGCCTACTCCCGCCGTTGCGTTTGTCTTTCAGAACCGGGACTCGGACAAGAGAGCCGCCGATGCCAAAGGAGACGCCGGCGCCGCTCGAGCCCTTCCCATCAAGCAGGTTGGCGCCGGCCTTCGTCCGTGCGTCGCGCTCATTCTTTCGGCCCCTCGCCCAAAGTCGGCTGCCGTCGGCTCCCGCGCGGCCGCCAAATTGACGGTGAAGCGTGGCGGTCGCGTGGGAGATGTTCCTTCGGTTTTCGGCCGGGAAACGCGCCGCATTTGTCACATTTCATCCATCGGCCTCACGTGAGCTCGACGTTTGGCCGCGAGGTTCGAAGCGAGTCAAGATACGACTGCCGCTAATAGTCCGGATGACCGCCGGCCATGGACCGATCCGTCGGCCGTTTTCATGTCACGGATAAAAATGTCTCAAGCGTCGGCGGTTCTCCAAATGTTGACGCCAAGTGCCGGCACAAATAAAATGAAAAAAATCTTGGCTCTGTCCTGCATCGCGATCAAAGCCCAACATTCAAACACAGTCGCCGGTAAGGCTCCTCAAGAACAAGACTCAAGTTTTATGCCGAACAAGTTGATTCAGTTGCGCAAGCCACTGTGACATTGTAGCGAGAAGCCAAAAGTCCGATAAAAAGTGCACCTCGTCAAACGTATTAAAACAAACAAAAAGTACTGTACTTCAAAGCGAAATACAACGGAACCGTGTTTTTCGTTTTATCTGACCAAAGGAACTGGAATGGATTTGCGGCGGAGGCTCTTCTCTTCCCGGCGCGCTTTTCGCGCTGTGGCCGCGGCCACTTTTCAGCCGAGCGATCGCCCGCTTGGGCTTGTTGTGTTTCCGCAGAGCGTCCTGTGGAAGAGGAGCGGCAGCTCCCTGAACAAGGAGTGGAAGAAGAAATACGTCACCCTGTCCACCAACGGCACGCTGTGCTACCACTCCAGCTCCAGTGTAAGGAGACACCGCGCGGACGGCGCATCGGCGTTTCGCTCACATTTCGCTTCACCTTCACCCTCTCGAAAGTGGAGGCGGCGGCTTGCGGTCATCAAGTCAGCGGCGATTCCAATTGTCCAAAACGCTGCACGGCGGCGGCCCTCCAAGCCTTTTCAAAAAAGGATGATCATTTGGGGGGTTTTCCTCTTTGGCGCCACACAAAAGCAATATTATGAATTGCTCGATACCGTCCGTTTCATCTCAGGCGGGGGTGTCCAAACTTCAGTCCGGGGGGCCATTTGCGAGCCGCCATCCGTTTTCTTAAGCGGCCTGCGACATGGCAAAAAAGCCCCCCAAAAAACAAAGCGCTAAAATGACATTTGACGTACGCCGCGAGGCGAGTTCTAAAAGGGCGAGGTGGGCAGAGTGAGAAGGGAGGCCGCTGGAGAACTCGATTCCAACATACAAAGAAAGGATGAAAGGAGCAACACGACTGAACGTCAAGAAAGAGCGTTCCATTTTTGAGGCAAAAATCGTTTCTTCCACTTGGTGCTCTTGATGAAGGAAGGCGTCACAAAGTCGGGGAAACGAACGTTTCCAGGAACGCCGTACCCGTAATCGTGGTCAAAACCTTCCGCTAACTGGAGCGCTAATGAGAGAGAAGGCGAGTTCCATGGCGCGAACTCTGGCCATCGAGGACTACGAAGCGTCCCGTGGCTGCCTTGAAAAGTTCTTTGCGCGACATCAGCCGAGCAACGCTGTCGTCTTGTGTGGCGATCGAGGGGATGTCCAGTTCGACAACAGTAAACCACCAGGTCTGTTCCGAGTGGCATTTCTGAGCAAATAGTCCTACTTTTTGTGACGCGTCTGGTTACACTGTATTTTGTTCATATACCTGCGCCGTATGCTGCAGTTTTTGTGTCCCAAACAGTTTTGGGAGCATATATTTTTGCATTTTATTGCTTGTGTATTTTGTTCACACTCATGCGTGTTCATAAAGGACATGTACTGTAGTCGTTTCCCACATAAGGAAATTCCGTTGAAAGGAAAGATTGGACAACCCAAATATGAGCCCTTACTCGAGAATCCGAACCTGTCGGCATATATTTGTGCGTATCCACGTATGCACCCGTCCATATTTGACCAAACAAAATAAAGCGACTGAATACTGCGTTGCGCATTTCAGGACTACATGCAGAACGCGCACGGAAAGGAAATCGACCTGCTGCGCGTGACGGTGAAGGTTCCCGGCAAGCGTCCTCCGAGAGCCGTGGCGCCGGCGGGCCCCTCGCCGGCGGCCCCCGCCTCCTCCGGCATCAACGGGCTCAGTAAGGAATCGGCGGCGGCTGAGGGCGCCGGCGCAGGTACCGAGGACCTTTCCGTCTTCCGATTGGCTCACAAATGACGGCGGAGCAAAGATGCCCCGAAAGATCGGATGGCGTACTAGTTGAGTTCTCGTACTCCTTGGACTCGCGAGCTCAAACTCGACAGTGGCGGTCAGGTCAATTCGAGTCGCTTCGCAAGAAGCAGCACCAATTGAAGCGGACTGTCAAATGAAACACGAAACCAAGAAAAGGACTCATTTTTACGACAAATACAGCGTTGAGACTTGAGTTGGCGATCTTCACGCGTACATATCGAGTTGACTCGACCTCGAAAGGGAAGCCTCAGTAGGAGGAGAGAACGTTTTGTCACTTGAATCTCACGGCCGGCGACGTGAAATGGCCTTCCTTTGCTGGGAATATCCCGCTCATTGCTCGCCACGTCGATTTTTGAGCAGCGTGCATCGAGAGTCTTGATGTTTGCGAGGAGCGTATTGCCATCTGTGTCTGATGGGGCCACCTACGGTATTTATCGATGGCATTTGACAAGCTAGCCACGAGCGGACGGGTGGCCAGAGATTGAAAACAAAAGGAAGGACAAAGTAAGCAGGAGAAAAGAGAGAAAGATTTTTGTTTTCTTCTCCAAACGGAGGCCGTCAAATTCCAAAGTGGCACTGCATGTTTGCCGCCTCTGTGATGAAAGATGTGACCGCCTGCGCCCACTCTTGTCAGATGCCCCGGAGGGGGCGTCCGGACCGTTTTCCGGAAAAGACGCCGGCCAATCGTCTCCGATGAGCGACCGCAAGAAGAACAGGAGGAAGAAAAGCATGAATCAAAAAGGAGACGCAGCCGTCGGGCAGGCCGAAGGTAATCGGGCATCCTCGCGGAGCTCTTTCTGCTGAACATGCATCCGTTGGGACGGGAGAGTAGCCCGGCGCTCGGCACGCTCCTCTGCTCTTTGGGCGTTCTTCTCGATTCTCGCGCGGCTTTTCCCGCCTGGCGGTCCCCAAAACCTTCACCCAATGAGGGGCGTCCGATTTATGCGCGGCGGCGGCCCCGATCAGAGTCACGCTTTCTTCAGAGGCTCATCGAAGGCGACCGTAGCGGCGAGCGGCGAGCTAGTTATCCGCCTCGCCGGCGTTTCCATCCAACCGGAGACGCGCGGCGTAGCCGAACCCGAACCCGATTTCAAGACGGCCGCCTCGACAGGGTCCCTCGAAACCGGTACCCACCCACCCGGCCAGCGCCAGGCCGCAGGTTTCTCCAACCGGCTCCTAGCTGCCAACGCGCGTTTGTCTCCCCGCCGGCGACCGGTCCGGGGCGGACCCTACCTCCTGTCCCAAAGTCACTCGGGGCGGGGCGGGGCGGGGCGGGATGGGCTCCGGCTCAAAATGCTTGCAAAGCGATGGTGACTTTCTCTGCCTATTTCTAACATCTGCGCTCTCTTTCTTCCTCTGCTTTTGTCTTGTGCCTCTGCGTTTGTCTCTCGCTCTGCAGCCAAGCGCAAAATGTGGAAGCTAAAGAGCTTTGGTAGCTTGAGAAACATTAACAGGACAGGTAACGTTTGCGCCCAGGCGTTTCCTCCGTTTGACCGACCTCTCGGTGGCCGATCTCGATGTCCTCGTTTGCGCGGCTCGTCCCGGCGCCGCGGGCTTTCTTGCCGTCTTTGACGCGCGCATGCCAAACGGCTCGGCGGAGGCCGCGGCTCGCTGACTTGCGCGTGGTTTGCCTTCCAGATGAAGAAAACGCCGACTTCATCGTGGTGTCGTTTACGGGTCAGACGTGGCACTTTGAGGCGCCCAGCCTGGAGGAGAGGGACTCGTGGGTGTTGGCCATCGAGAGCCAGATCCTGGCCAGCCTGCAGTCGTGCGAGAGCGGCAGAAACAAGGTGCGTGCGCTTGCGCGCCAGGCGGAAGGTTAGGAAAAAAAGCAGTGGACTCCTTGGGTGGGAAGAACACGTTTCCAAACGTGTTGGGTGGGTGGGGGATTTTTTTGCGAGGGGGGCAATTCCATTCATTCCGCCGGGGAAAGTCGATTTGAAACGGGAGCGATATGACGCGGAAGCAGAGGTGAAAGCGCCGCCGCGCTCTCGTGGCCTTCTCCTTTTGCCGAAGCGCAAACGGCACGGCGCCGCTCTCTCCTTGCCATTTCGTTGAGCTGTGCGTGTGTGCGTGCGTGCGTGCGTCTGTGTGTCTTTGTGTGCGCGCGTGTGCAGGCGCGACGCAGCAGCCAGAGCGAGGCGGTGGCGCTGCAGGCCATCCGGAACGCCAAAGGCAACGACCTGTGCGTGGACTGCCGAGCGCCAAGTGAGTGCTCGCGTGCGTCTCCGGCCGTCCGTCCGCCTGCGGTAAGACGGGGTGGGAGAAGGCCATCGCCTTGGCCCGATCCCACCGTGAGAAAGCGCTTGCGACCCCAGCTCTCAATTCAAGATAAAGCAGCCATGAGGGAGAAAGTCAAGGGCAAAAAAACCCAAGCAAGCCTGTCGGTCAAGCCGGCCCGGCGTATTTTGGCCGCCCCGTACCGTCGACCTTATTGCGAGAACGGATCTTTGGGAACGTTCGGAGATCTGCCTGCGGCGCAAATCAGGTTGAGCAGATGTTTTGTTTTGACATTTGATCTGGGAAGGCTTTCCAGTGGGAATGGGATCCTTTTACCCTTGGGAACATCCAGCTTATTGAAGTAAAAAAAAAAAAAATCCGCCTGCGGCTGAAGCTAATTCTTCATTCTTAAACGTGACCAACGAAGTCACATATGATGATGATGATGAAAATGACGATCGTCGTCGTGGTGGTGCAAAATGACCACGGCGCCCAAATACGGTCCAATCCAAATCTGTTGAAATCAGCGTCCGATCGGAACGGGGGTCACCAACGCGGGCGGGCGGCGGGCAGGCAGAGGAGCACGGACAGCCGGCGCCGGGACGTTGCGATCTGCCGCTAGAAAGGAGGAGGACCGTCGCCAAATGCAAAGCCTGCCGGGAGCGGGAGGGACACGTCTCCAACACCGTCGGGCTCCCGACGTTCAAATCGTCAAGTACGGAAAAGAGGACACGCTCGCTTTCTTCCACGCCAAGTGGCTCTCGCTCTCCAAAAGCTTGGGGACCCCCAATTGGAACGCCGATGGCTCCTCGGCGGCGGTTTCAAAGTTGCAAAGAAACGGATGCCGACGGAGCGAAAAGGGACTCGCTCCTCATTTGCTCGGCACGGCACGCAAATTTCGTGTTTGGCGCCGCCGTCGACTTCTTTCGTGCGGCGAAAAGACGAGGAGGAAGCGCGCTTTGACCCCTGCCGCTTTTGTCTCCCCGAAGACCCCACCTGGGCCAGTCTCAACCTGGGCGCGCTGATCTGCATCGAGTGCTCCGGCATCCACCGCAACCTGGGCACGCACCTGTCTCGGGTGCGCTCGCTGGACCTGGACGACTGGCCCGGGGAGCTCACGCAAGTGCTGGCCGCCATCGGCAACCACGCGGCCAACGCCGTCTGGGAGGGCCGCACTCTGGGCAGGGCCAAGCCCGCGCCCAACGCCTCACGGTGGGTGCGCTCGCTCTCGGACGCGGGCGGGGGATGTCGTTCCTCGTGCCGCGTACGCGCCGCTTCTTCTTTTTTTGCCCGCGACGGCAGCCGCCACGCAGCGCGGCTTTTCGGTTGCGGCGCGGGAGGCGGCGGCCGTTTGGGGCCGTCGGTCACCGCCGCGAAAATGGCGAAGCCGCCGCAGCGATTGCGTCTTCGCCTACTTCTTTGCGGCGCCGTGTTCGTTTTTGAGCGGACGGCGATCGAAATGAGGTCGATGGCACGGCCGTCGCCCTCCCGCTCGTTTCCGCCCACGGAAACGACCTCGGCTCGGAAACGTTCGGGTCGGGCAACGTCTTCGCGGAATTGCATCGGCGACCCGAGGCTGCGCCGTATTTCCTATTTGCGCGTCTCGACGCCTGCGATGGGCCTGCAATTGAGGGCGCCCCGCCCGACCCGGCTCGAGCGGCGCCGATCGCGGTCGGGCGGAGGCGCGTGACTTGTTTGTTTGTTTTCTTTGAAAGGGAGGAGAGGGAGTCGTGGATCCGCGCCAAGTACGAACAACGGGCGTTCGTGCCGCCGCTGCGGCCGCGGGCGGACGACGGCGACATGCCGGCGCGACTGCTTTCGGCGGTGACCGAGCGAGACCTGGCGCGCCTCCTCCTGCTGCTGGCCCACAGCAGCAAGGAGGCCGTCAACGCTCAGCCCGCCCCCGCCGGCACGGCCCTGCACGCCGCCTGTCAGCTGGGCGACGTGGTCATGACGCAACTGCTCATCTGGGTGCGTCTCGTCTTCTTCTTCTTCTTCTTCTCCTCCTCGTCTCTCCTTCGTTTGACTGATCCCAACGCTCCGCTACACTTGAACTCGGAACAATCACAGACCACATCAAATTGCTCTTATGGTGTGCTGGTGATTGCTTTGCTTTTTTTTTTCTTCTGAAGGTGTCAATTATTTTGCTTGTTCTCAGGCTACCACGTTGCAAAAACGAGCACACTCTAATCCAGTCCTTGCACCTAATTGGCCTAAAAATTGGTATTTCTTTCTTTTTTCGAGCGATCGGCCGAACCGCCGAGCGCTTCTTTTGAGACGAGCCGTCAACTTGTCGGCGTCGGTCTCCGAGTGGCGTTCGGGCCGGGATTGAGCTCACCGGTCGTCCGAGCGTCGAGCGCCGCCGGCGCGCCGTGAGAATCGTCTGACGTCCGACGTGTGCCGCGGCGCGGGAGGGGGGCGGGGGGGCAAAAGAGTAGCTCAGAGGAGTGGGGCCGCTCTCTCGCCGGAGCGACGTCACGCCGTGTCCTTTCTCTGCCCGCAGTACGGAATGGACGCGAAAGCGAGGGACCGCCAGGGCCGGACGGCCATGATGATGGCCAGAAAAGTCGGGAGCGGAGGCTGCGTCGATGTTTTGCTCCAACACGGCTGCTCCGACGAGACGTCCCCCCCC